TCAGCTTATCTACAGATCGTTTCTGCATTTTCACAATATGAGTACGAGAGACAAGTGTCACTATGTTTCTTTGATTTTCTACACGATGTGGACACCAATACTCCAGCCAACTTAGGTTGATGCAAGTCAATATAATGGAAACAATGAAGCAGCATCTCCCGCTGATATCATGCAGCAGAATATGATCAGTTTCTTTTAAATGATTCAATAAAACTCTTACCTGTAAATAAATGTTTCATGCATGATCTCATTATCATTGATAATTCACCTTTCCATAGCTTAGCAGCCTTGTACTTTCTCTCAATTCAACCTTGTTTTATTTAATCCTCTTCCTCGAAGCTTATATTGTTCTTCCATCCATGCATGCTGTCAAAGGTAGACGCATGGCTTGTAAATCTCAGTCACCTTTGTTGAAAATTGAAACTCTTTCTCTATATTTTACATATCAATCTTGTAAATTTATGATGTCTCAGGTACGTGTTGCTGAATATAGCAATGTGCGCAGCCAACTAAATGCCATAAACCGTAAGCAAGCTGGAAGGTATGCCTATGTTTTTTTTTGAGATTATACACTTCATCTTCTGCTTGTTCAATTTAAGTGTATATATTCTGCACACGTAGAATGTTTGATTATGTTTTGTGAGATTATTAGCAGGTCGTCTTAGGAATATAATTTACATTGTAAATTGTATTACTAGTGGACGAAATTTGCCCTGTATGACAATATAATTTTATCATAGTTCATTGACATAATTTCTTTTGCAGCCTGGCTATTCGTGACCTGTCCAATTTGGTGAAGCCACAGGATATTGTTACTTCAGAACATTTGACAACCCTACTTGCAATTGTTCCAAAGTATTCACAGAAAGATTGGCTATCAAGCTACGAGGGACTCACATCCTATGTAGTAAGAACTCTATTTTCTATATCTTCCTCTACCAATTCACTCTTTCACTCTTGCCCTGTATGATGTCCCTTCTACGTGTCAGCTCTCAATGCCACTTAAATTTTGAATTGTGGTTGCACTGACCGTAGTAAAGATGCTTCTATTCTGCATTCTTCCAAGTGATACAGTGCTTAAAGCAATTATGTTAAAAGGTTTTTTAGTCTGTCATATGAGAATTCATTTTGCTTCCATAAATTCTAGTTTTTGATTGAACTACTTGTTTTAGGTCCCCAGATCCTCCAAGAAGCTACACGAGGACAATGAATATGCTCTATTTACTGTAACCTTATTCAATCGTGATGCTGACAATTTCAGAATCAAGGCACGCGAAAGAAATTTCCAAGTGAGTGGGCTATGTAGTATCTCATGGTCGTGCTAACTGTTGCATCTCCTTTTTTATTACTTTCGAGAGTATCTTATGTAATTTGATGTTGGATGAAGTCCTGATGAATGTTTATTGTTGTGTGATGTAGATTCGTGATTTTGAGTATAATACAGAAACACAAGAGACCCGGAAGCAGGAGCTTGATAAACTTACACAAGACCAGGAAACATTTAGAAGCTCTCTGTTGCAATGGTGCTATACCAGTTATGGAGAGGTACCCTCTTCACAGTTTGATCTAGAAAGCTCTCGAAATTTTGTCATCACTTTCAATTTCTTAAATCCTTTTCACTGCATTTTGAAACTTGTTGAACTACATTTTCATTTTAACCAGAGAAAAGTGGATCATGCTCTAGGATTTTAAAATTACTTCCATGGGTGTTTGCCCTTTTCTCAAAGGAGATTGAAGTTGATTATGATCTAAGACTGATTGAAGGTTGTTCCTGAGAAATAGTACATATTTTAAACAGGTTAATTAAAACTGATCTTATAATCTGCAAACTGTGTCCAACTGATTTTTGATAACAAAGTGTGGCACATTTGTTCTTCAGATATGGCTAAACTTGCTAAGAAATCAAGGCACTCTCCTTTTAGGTTGCATTACACTATATGTTGGTAGACAAATAAGCAGGTTTGGTTACCTGAAGACGGTCTCTAGAATTGTGAATCAAATTTGAGATTGACTTAACCCTATTAGTTTGTTTTCTTCTTAATATATCATTTTCTTGTGCAACTTCGATTCTTTTCTTGGTAGTATTTTTGTTTACATTTTTTTTAATCTCTATGGTGGATTTTGTTGGAACAGAGGCCTTAATAAATTCATTTATTGCAAGCTTAATTGGTTGTAGAGCTGTTATTCCTAATGGAGAATAACTTGTACAGTGAACTTATGAGGAGTAGAAAAGAACTTGCATGTGGTGGGTGGAAAGTCTGTGTGGAATAACTTTAGAAATAACGAGTGTGGTACTTAGTAGGCAAGAAGATGTGGGATAAAAAACTAAGTTGGAATATTTTGCTACATGGGATAAATTGTTATTGTTCAAATCAAACTTGTTTTGTCAGTTTACAACAACAACAGCAAAAGGGACTTAGCCCATTGAATTAAAATCAAATTTTGGGAATAAAATGAAACCAGTTTCCATTTGCACATGTACGTTCTATTCCAATTTCTGATTTCCCTTTGTCTTGTGGAAGTTCTGTTGCTTTTGGAGGTTGGATTTAAGTATAGTGACTAACGAGGTAAGAAATGTCATGTTTAGTGCTGATTTTGTAAGAAAATAAAGTTTGGAGACTAAAATAGGGTCTCACCCACAAGATCAGAGCCCAAATAGGTTTTGTCTTTAAGAAGTTGTTGATATGAAGAGACATCTAGAGATAATACCTCCTTCTAGAAGTACGCCCGGGGGGGGTGGGGGGTCAATAGCAACTATCATTTAGAATGCAGCAACTTCTTTGGGTCTTAGTATGCTTCTCTTTAAAATTCATCTCTTGGTCCCTGCAGGTTTTCAGCTCCTGGATGCACTTCTGTGCTGTACGTGTCTTCACCGAAAGCATTCTACGATATGGTCTGCCACCGTCATTTTTGGTAATTAATTTTCCCCTTCCGTGATTAATTTTCTCCTGACTTGCTTCTTCTTCTTTTCTTTCTTTCTTTTTTTTTTTTTTTTTTTTTTTTTTTTTTTTTTTTTTTTTTTTTTTTTTTTTTTTTTTTTTTTTTTTTTTTTTTTTTAATTTCTTTTTCTTTTTCATGTATCTTCTTCTGTTACTTAAATTGCTGTGATCAGAGATAATGACATTTTATTTCAGTCTGTTGTGTTGTCACCATCCGTGAAAAGTGAGAAGAAAGTTCGTTCGATTCTTGAGGGATTCTGTGATAATTCAAACAGGTACTATATTTGATTTCTTCTAAGCTACTTATTTCTTTCATGTACTAGATGCAGCCTTTTATAATAATAGACCACAACCGTGATATCATGGACTACGTTGCAAGTCTAATTCGAATGAGTAGGCCCTCTCCTAGTTGAACTTTGATGTTGTGTAATGAGATACAGAGCACGTTCATAATTGTCTGTTCACAATAATTTCGCCATCCAGGATAGATTGAAAATAGTACTGAATTTTGTTCGCTGCATATAACTTATTTTGCAACCATAATGAAAGAATTTGTGATGTTAACTTCCTGTAATTATGCTACAGATCGTGACAGAAAGTTCTGTAGGAAGGACAGACAGATTTAAAGCTTTAATGTCATAATTTATATTACTGTTAAATGGAATTGCCCATTTAGTTCTCTTCTTTAGCCAACATGGTTTTCCTTAGGGTCAAGTCTTTGATGGTCCTAGGATGCAAACGTTTGATAGAAAGAATACTTCTGTTAATATATTCTTTGTAACTGCAGCACTTACTGGAAAAGTGAGGAAGACGGAGGAGGGATGGGTGGTATTGCAGGCGATGCAGATTCACATCCTTATGTCTCCTTCACAATAAATCTCATTTAAGCTGAGGTATTGAATTGTGCTGTTCATTTCTCGATCTGTGTGAATTTAGTTGGCTCCAAAATAAGGACAGATGCGACTTTTGTATTGTAGAGTAAATTATTCTATTCATTATGTTTGTCCAGAAGTACATGCTGCTTGTAAAACATCATCTGAGTCTCTAGAAGTTTTTCAAATTGTAGCAGTTATCATCATTGTCCATTTATGTTTTGTTTTCCATATGTGTTGGAGCCATAAATATAATGTATTGTCAGTCTTGAGTTCTCTAACTACATATTAGTTATCCAAATTTATGGTAGCATTCTTTTTTTCTTTTTCTTTTTTAAAATCTACTGAGGCTCCGAGTACTTGTGGCAGTGTCAACTTGGAGACACTGGTGGCTTGCCTAGTAGAAAAAAATAATTGTCCATCTTACTGTCCAGGGCTACATATTGAACATACTAATGGACTTGATTATCATTTTTAATTGGGGTATCGACATTCAAGCACAGAGCACACAGTACACAGTCTACACTCCCACAATGTACCTTTGTTACTTGAATGTGCATCAGACATGTTATGGAGGCAGGGGAAAACTGATTATATTATAGTACAATAGCATAGGGGTTTGTAATCAATGAGGCTGCGATTGTATCTGTATCTGTCATTTACATGATTGTCTGGTCTTAGAATCTGAACATTTGATGATTAGAAATATGAGCGATTAATTGGTAAACATTCATGTACTTGATGCCCTGCCCAGGGGAATACCCAACTCCTACCTCTGTTAGCTTTTTGTCCGAATCGTTTTCTAGGTGATCCGTCCAGAAGAGCTATTTGAAAGCAACTCCTACAGTGTCGAGAATTTTTTTTTTTTTTTTTTTTTTTAACTTATGAATAAAATGTTAATCAAACTCTTATTCCAACATAAAAATAAGTGAAGAATAGATGCTCAAATTAAAGCACGAATGCTTACGTGAAGTTGTCCAAAATGATGTAAAAAATGAAAGAGTACTTCGATTAATGATCGATGAGCAGTTTTATTACCTTCTCTGCAAGACCGTTATTTTCTTCTCTTGGACGGCTTCTTAACCTCAACATTTTTGCACCTTCGGGGCTTCTTTCCTTTCGGTTCCTTCATATCCTAATTGATTCTAAGTTAAACGTAAATCTTGTTTAAAAAGTAAATTCATTAGTCCAATGACAACAAATTAAGCCTTTTAATAAGTATCGAGTCACCTATGTGCATCTTTTTTCATTTTTCTGTCAAGGTCATTGCTTGTTCTGCTGGAGGATTCAAGACTACTAAATCCTTAACAATGAATCTGTGTCATGCTAATATTGACCTCCCTCTTGTAATAATATAGTTCTTATCATTTGGAGCCACTTTAAATTTATTAAAAAATAGTTTTTCGATGACTTAGCGAAATGTGTATGGGAAATTTCCATTTGTACAGAATTTCAGTTCACAAAATTCTGTTAGAGCAGACACATGTGGGCCCTATGTATGATAAAAAATGTCAAAAAATATCACCCACCCGCACCCACTGTGAGTTATCTGGAACAATTCTATTACTTTCCTGTCTGTAAGTGCAGCACGCCTCATGTGTATGGGTTCATGTTGAAAAAATTGACAAATTATGGAATTAGACTTAGACTACCAGAAAGTCACTATTGCTATGCTGTACTTTCCGTATGGAGAAATGCAGAGAAGCTCAAAATTTTGAATTCAAGAACTCTAACAACAAGAGTGAAGTTGAAGACTGTAAATATATGGACTCATGTTGGTTTTGAGACCCTTACAATGTCTCTAAAGAGTGAACTAGAACTATTTTAGGATGGCTTTTAGAGTTGAATTGTACATTGACTTTTGGTATGGTTCTAAATCTTTTCTAGGCTAATTTTACGAAGGCAGAAAATGCAAATTTTTTAGAGTAGAACCCTCCACTTGTAGCTCCAACGGTATATAGGGTCAACTTTATAAGATTATATAGTGGAATTTGTTTTAAAGATGATGAGAACGTGAACTTTGAGAAATTTGTGCTTCGCAATATGTTGACCTAATTTATATAAATATGACAACTTGACCAAGTAGAATGATGGTCTTTCAAGTGGAGAGCACCACTTCATCCATATTTCGTCGTACTATTAGGTTAAGAGCCATTGTCAAGAATTCTCAAATAAATATTTATACTTATAGTACTTTATCCCCCAACGACTTTACTGTATATTTGATACATTGAACTGGATATAAATAAATAAGAGAGGAGCAATAATTGCGTGCCTAAAAAGCAAAGGAAATGAGCATATTATTACAAGCCGACCCAACTCTTTGGATTCAAACTCTTAAATTTAAATTCCTTTTTTTTTTTTTTTTTTAAATCTTGATTTTAATCCCTATCAAACAAGAGCAAATTTTGTGTTCTACAGAGGAAGGAACAAAATAATCCTTCTAAACAGCAAACATAACTCCAAAATCTTAACATAACAATCAAATAAATACTACTATTATATAGTGTATAATCCCTATCCGCATATCCATCCTGGAGAGGTCTCTGGTCATTCATTTACTACAAAAAGATTGCATTTCTCGAAGCAGAATCATAAGCTTTTGGCTTTAGTTCTTTGCAGGAGCAGGACTTCCACCTCCCGTGGTTGGCCTGCAAGAATATCGGGATCAAATTATTGTTATACATGAAAAATATATAGATTCCTACAAAGTTCCTTGATGAAGATTAGATTACTAATGACATTTTCGGTAGGGCAGATTAGATAGCTTTTGAAAGTATTAAGAGAAAAAACTATCTAAACATGTCCTAAAATAATTAACTTAAACGTGTTAGAGATATGGAGGGGGTTGGGGTGGGGGTTGGGATTGGGATTGGGATTGGGAAGAAGAAACTTACAGGCCAACAAAAACCTTGAAAGCATCATAAATGCCCCATTGAGCTCCAGTAAGGGTTCCAATCATGACTATACGAAGAGGGAGACCTCGGGTGCACAGACCCCATAAGCCTAGCTTGTTCACAGCCTGGAAAATTACAATTAAGATAACATGTACTGGGAAATTATCGGAAAAGAATGTGAATTTGATGAAGAGAATACGAGTCTTGATACTCACGTCACCAACTGTTGCTCCCTTGGCATTGTTGAGGAATGACACCAAGTTATCAGCAGGGTGTGACACGATAGCACATAATACTCCAGCCATATAGCCACCGGCAAAACTAACACCAAGCTGCAAATTTTTGCTGCACTGCTCTTTTGGAGTCGGGATGGCATGCTTGTATATTTGTTCCACAATATTCTCAAAAGTCGAGAACTTCATCATTGTATCTGCAAGAAACCCAATGCGATCACTAGTGATCCTTCCAGGCTGAACTAACACACTAGCGCACGTGCATGAACACAAACACCAGTCTAAAGCTCAGAAAGAATCTGAAAGAGTAATGTTAAGTTGGCTTACATGGAATCTGACGTCCCCAGAGTGGAACAATCCCCTTATAGAGTCTGTAATAGCACGTTGTAAAAGTCTTCGATGTTATCAAAATTTGTTAACAATAAACTCAAAGTGCATGTTTGGTACGCAGTATTAGATCATACTGAACAGTATAATAGATAGTCTTATTATTATTATTATTATTATTTTTTTTTTTTTGCATATCTAATAGTCTACTACCGTCTAATCGACCTTACGAGAACTATCACGAAGGTCAAGGAAAAAATGAGTCGTAATTACATGTAAAGATTGTACGTACCCAGCAGCGCCTTCAGCCCTAACAAACTTGGGAAATCCATCAGAGAAGCCTCTTGCAAAGCCAGGTTGAGTCTGCACACGAACCTTAACCGCCTCAAATGGACAAAGGGCAACATCGGCAATGAGTTCAGCAGAAGCAGATCCTGCGAGGTAGATCAAGGTCTTATACTTGGCTGCATTCTCGGGACCAGCAATGTCGGAGTAGTACTTCTTGAAAAATTCGTAGAATCCAAACTTGCAAGCCCCCTGTGCGCTGTATCCAAGCAGGGTTGGCACCCAACCCCTGAAAAAACCTTTAACTCCCTGCTCCTTCAGCAGAACTCCAAAACCAGAGCTAATGCCCTTATACTTTGAAGGATCAATCTGAAAAATGAAGAAGGATGTAAATTTGATATGAACAAGGATCAGGAAATGTATTTCTTTGAAACTGTTGCTTTTTTCTCTGTATGATCTGCATGTTTGGCTAAAAAAGTTACTTTTTTAGGAATTTAGATAAGCTAATTTAACCTGCATGTTACACTTGACGAGATCAAGTGGGGTGACAGCCATATGAGTGAGCCCACAACTCAATATCCCTCCAGCCGTGCAGGCGCCATAATATGCCGGCGAAAACATCTTTATACTACTCTCTCTCGGCGCCGGGATCAAAAAATCTCTCTTAATCCCAGCCGTTGATGATGCTGACGAAATTGAATCAGACTGTGCAGGTAAATTCACATTCTTCATCAGATTCTTCTCCATCCCTTTCGATGTCAACAATGATGAATAAAGAAATGTTGGGATCAGAGATTGTCGTGTGTTTTCCATGTCTGAAAATTAAGCACTGAAATGCAACTCTCTGTTTGAAACTTAACAGAAAGAAAACTGGAAAAAATTAATCTATTTTCTTGGGTTAAAAGGGTATTATTGAAGGAATTCGATTTGCGTTTGTTTAAGGGGAAGAAGAAAGAGTAAAACACGGGAGTCCGAGGAAACGGGAGAGGTCAGAAATGGCTAAGGTTTCTCCTTTCTTTGCGCGCCTTTTTGGAATGTTGGGTTGGATAGGAATACGTTGTTTTTGACTGGTTTTTCTGGTGCACCGATTTTGAATTAGGAAAAGTTGGCTTTTGTGACACGAAGATTTCCACTTGTACGAAAAATTGTTCCATAAAATTCTACCTGAAGTCTCACATGTGTGGGACTCATGTTCTGATAAAAAATGTCAAAAAATCTCTCCATCCACCCCCTGCCATATCTATGCCCTATCGCTTCTGTGTGTACAATTTCTGTACACACAACAAGCTTCTCGAGATATTTCAAATATCAAGGGTTGAGTTTCCTATTTCTTTTCTTCCTTGTCTCCTCAATCTATTGCCTATGTTATAAAATCCAATCTTTAAATTTCTATAATTCTACAATCAATCTTCAATAACAAAAAACCATCTAAATCTCATTAGAATCAATCTTCAAGAATGAAATATCATCTAAATCTGCAGAATCGTTATGCGGTCTTGTAAAAACAACTTCAGAGCTACGGCCGGCTAAAATTTCAAATTGGGATGGATTATTTTACCTTTTATTTGAGCTAAAATCATTTTTTAAGTAAGCTAAAATTTCAAATTGGGATGAACTTAAATATTTTATAAATCGGGTTAATATATCATGTTTTTCGTATTTAGACAGAGAATTTTTTCCCTATCTTTACTTTGGACAACCGCCACAGGTAAAGTCTGCGATTTATTAAAATTTGGATTTTGACTCCATATCTTAGCATATCCCTTATATTGCAAATTGATTGAGCCCATGTTTGAGCTCCATTATGAAGTTTTTGGGCAAAAAAAAAAAAAAAAACAAGTATTTGGTAATAATGATTTTTTTGAAGAACGTGAGGTTAAAAAAGAAAGAAAAATTTTAGATTACGTATAATATTATTTTATTAAATAATGTATTGTTGAAAAGAAGAGAAGAAAGAATATATTATTGAATTAATGGAGTCCAAACGGGGGCTTAATAAAATTTGGATGAATTATGTTGTTGGAGAATAATTGTGCAATAAATTTAGGATCGATTTACTCCTTTTTAAAGATTAGGAGCATCTTACTACTAAAACAATATATTAGGGACAAATACTACAATTATTTATTTATTTATTGCTTTTTAACAAATATAAATCAAGCCATCGTATTTGCATAGGGAGTTTAATCCAGTCATTTTTTTCCCCTTTAAGAAGTCACTTATTTTTAGGGTGGCTTATTTTCAAGCATAACTGAAGAAGTCGTACACATAAATTTACATACAAAACTTGTTTGTCTTCAAACATTCGATTGCATGAAAATGTATTTAATTGGTCCTTGAATTTTTCCATTTGCTTATCCTTGTCTTTAGACAAAGAAATCGACTAAGTCAATACTACACGATTCACAATATAAATGATAATCGTTTGAATAAAAAACAAAGAATAACATCCAACTTAAATATTTTTGGCCGAAGAACTTGGGTTTTATGCATATAATAAAACTAGATCTCGATCTAATTCATCAAATGTGTAAAGTCAAGACTTGTAATTCTGAAATATTTTATGCAGAACGCGCTTACCAAATTTTTTAATATCGTCTTGTGGAGTTGACTTCTACTTATGCTGATCCCAGTTGAATTTCCACTTGGTTTCTTGGTGAAAAAGTTCCTCCAACAACTCCCAAGGCCAGCTTTTTGCTCATACTTTCCCTGTTCATTTTATATACAAGGTAAGAATATTGATCGTAGGGGTGGCTGACACGCAGAACACACACATTGACGGTGGAAATGGCCTATCTTGTGGCGGTTATGGTGGTGGTAGCCGCCGCTCTTGTACCAGTCTCCGCCGGGAAAACATATATTGTAGGGGACAGATTAGGGTGGACTGTTCCTCCTGAAGGCGTTGTGGCGTACTCCAACTGGGCTTCCCAACATAAATTCATGGCTGGCGACATTCTCGGTAATCTTGGATTTCATGTCTGAATTCTATCTTTTCTTCTGATAAATAAGTGCTACAATTACTGGAGATGATTTCTAAATTTATAGAGAACCAATTTGTGTTATAAATACAGAGTCATCATTAGTGGTTTGAATCGTCATAATAAATAGAGACTGGTTAGAGAAAATTAAGGTTTGCGAGTTTTATCTTGACAGTATCAGGCGTGAATGTAATATCACATTTAGTCGAACCTCAATAAATCTTTCGTTTTCTTGTGTGTCTTTCATTACTACGATTTTATTATTCTTGGTGATATAGACTCGGAATTTCTAATTCTCAACAAATCTGTCTTGTAGTGTTCAATTTTACTAATGGACACTCGGTGGCCACAGTTTCGACAGACGATTTTGATTCTTGCAACACTGATAATGCTGAAAGTGTCAAACTAAATGGTCCAGCAAACTACACGCTAGATGCTGGTGATACTTATTTCATTTGCCTCGTGGATGACCATTGCGTCCAAGGACAACAGTTAGCAATCACGGCTTCTGCCACCGGATCTCCGACAAGCAGCCCATCTCCAAGGCCGTCCGCTAGTGGCCCATCAGGCAGCATCACCCCTCCACCTCCCCCGGAACGATCATTTGCCACCAGAGTTTTTACTATTTCTTCTATCGTCTCTATGTCTCTTGTGATAGTCAACTTTTTTTAGCAAAACTTTACTGTTCTAGATAATGAGTTTTCGATGTTACCTTACATTCAACTATTATTGATTCTGTTATCTTCAAAATTAACGTCTAACAAATACAGATTTAAACATGACATATAAAACAATGTACCAAACATATCATTTATGTCTTATTCACAATTTCCAATTATACGTGCCGAGTACTAAGTTTTGAATATTAAGATTTGAGATTCTATTTTAAAAGGTTAATATTGTCAAGAGTAGTAACTTAAACTCTTATAAGTTGGTTTATATTTTCATTATTATTTAATGTGAGTTTTTTTTCCCTTAACATGCTCTCACAAGATGATGACTTATTTGAGTAAAACCAAACTTGAAATTTGTATGCTCATTTTTTTTGGGAAAATTGCAGCCGAGGTACCAAACCTTTCATTTATTAGCAGACTTTGCCCAATCCTTTAGTTTGTGCCTCCCACAGTTTCAAACATTTCAAAAATATGGACCGGGGGTTCAAATGGATGGAAACCGTCCGTTTGACCGTTAATTGACAAAGAATAGTAAATGTTGACCTATTTTGACTAAATTGAAAAGGGTAAAATGGTAACTTGATAATTATCATATTAAATAAATTGAAAAAAAAATCAAAAAATCAAAAAAAAAAAAAAAAAGTAAAAAAAAAAAAAAAAAGTAAAAAAAAAAAAAAAAAGTAAAAAAAAAAAAAAAAAGTAAAAAAAAAAAAAAAAATTAAAAAAAAAATCAAAAAATCAAAAAAAAAAAAAAAACTAAGAAAAAATTCAAAACTAATACTGCCCCCACCCCACCCCACATTTCCTCCTCCTCCTTCTCCGGCCAGCCACACCGTGGTAGCCATTGACACCGCCACCACTCACTCAATGCCAGAAAAACCACCGGATCTTGACATCACCAACACCTCCTAATCCCACTCTACATCCCATACCAGAAAATAGCAATAATTGGTTGAAAATCAGGCATATTTCATGCACAAAAAATCATCACTGCGCACGGCCGTTCCTCCAATTCTGGCCAATCCTTCAACACCCATAGCCTAACTTCGTTACAGGCAGTTAATGCTTCCCTAGACGAGCAGTTCCATGGCCCCAAATCATCAAGAAACGGTTTAAATCAGAAATAAAATGTAATAGACCGGACCAGTAAAGTTTTCCCCATTCATTCGGTGATACAAGAAAAAATCTGTATAAGCACTCACAAATTGGACCAGTAAAGTTTTTCCCATTCATTTTGTGTTAAACACAAAGCATTCGATGAGAATACATGTGAAATCGGTTTCAATGGTGGCCGAAAAACACTGGTTTTCGATCGATAGAAACGTGGTTTTTGGTCCACAGAAACACTGTCGCTCATTTTTTGCTGGGGCTTGGGATGCAGCTTCAAGCAGTTGAGTCGTCAACAGCGATGGTTTTGGGCTGGGCAGTGGGATACGGTGCGATGGGGTGGGTTGTGGTGAAGAAGATGACCCTATTTTAATTTATTTTCTTAATTTTTTAATTTTTTGATTTTTTCTTTATTTTTTGATTTTTTTTGAATTTATTTAATATGGTAATTATCAAATTACCATTTTACCCTTTCCAATTTAGTCAAAATAGGTCAACATTTACTATTCTTGGTCAACTAACTGTCAACTGGATGGATTTCATCAATTTGGATCCCCGGTGTATATTTTTGAAAGGTTTGGAACTGTGGCTGGCACAAACTAAAGGTTTAGGCAAAGTCTGCTAATAAATGAAAAGTTTGGTACCTCGGCTGTAATTTTACCTTTTTTTTTTTTTTTAGTTTAAATAGAATCTAATAACTCGTTGGAATTTAATAAGTTCTTATACCATAACACCTATTATTTGAGATTCTAATTTTTTGAATAATAATTTTTTTTTTTGGGAGAATGGATGATTGAAAAAGAAAGAATTTTTTATTTATTTAAGTATAATATTATTTTATTGAAAAACGTATTATTGAACAGAGTACAATGAAAAACGTATTAAAATTTTATGGGGTCAAACAAGGGCCAAGATTTAGAGTTCCATCGTAAAGGTCAATCTTGCTAAGAGGAGTAGTGCAAACCCTATAAGTTAATCTATATTTGCATCTTTATTTGATATGAGATTTTATCTCTTAACATTCAATACATTTCAAAGGACATTTTTAGGGTAATTAGCACAAAACGTCCATGTCTTTCAATATTATTACACAAAATGTCCATACCTTTCATTTTATTTTTTTTACATTTTTATCCCTATTTCACCTTTCATTTTGGAAAAAGTTTTTTCACCAATTTTTAACATAATATGATCAATATACCCTTCTATTTAAATAAAAAAATAAAAAAATAATAAATTGCAATCTTACTCCTAAACTTTTTAAAATGTGCAAATGAGTTGAAATAAATTATTAAAATACTAAAAATAAAAGAATAAAAATTCTTTCTCTCTCCTCTTCTTCTCTTCCCCCGCCCACCGCCTCCTTCACCACTAAATGGGGTCACCATCTTAAAAAGCCAAAAAACTCAGGCCAACCACCTCATGAACTGTCAAACCTCCATACCATCGGAAAGTCTTTACTTCTTTCTACACATGCCATCCAACATCCAACCTTTACGTCTACAAATTTGGTCAGAATTGCAAGTCAAAATATCCAACTCGTGAATACAAATACTGATGGCACTACCTGTTCTGACAAGACCTATGTCATTCCTAACACACTAATCGACTATACTCATCATGGTGCCTCTCTTCATAGTCTTAAAACATCAATAGATGCACAAAATCGAAATCTACAGCAACAGCTTTCAATTTTTAATTAGGCAATTATTGGCCTGAAATTATGGGGCATATTAGAATGAAATTGATGGAAGTCCATCTGTAGCACCAGTGTGGTGTGATGAGGCGAAGTTGGAATGGGTTGATTTTAATAATATAAATTTGTTGTTTGTACAATTTGTTTATGGGAAAGTGTTTGGGGGTCGAAGGCAGTTGTTTGTGACGTGAGCTTTGATAAGGTTGTGGTTGGTGAGATGGAGGCCGACAGCTCCATGAATGTGAAGTTATTTTTTGTGGGGTCATTTGCACTTTTTAAGAAGTTCAGGGGTAAGATTGCAATTTTTTTATTTTCTTTGTTTTTTGCTTTATTTAAATAGGAGGATATATTGGTCATTTTAATTTAAAATTTGGTGAAAATGACGTTTTCCGTAATGAAATGTGAAAATAGGGATGTAAATGCCAAAAAAATAAAAAGTAAAAAATGTTTTGTACAGTAATATTGAATAAACATTTTGTGCTAATTACCCAATATTTTTATATAAGATAAATAATGCACAGACACAAATTAGGGAAAATTTCACAATTGATCTTCAACTTATGGTCCATCTAGCATGTTGGTCTCTAGTTTTGATCATCAATCTCAATTCTTGCACAAGTAGTATCAAACAACAGAAACCAGTAAATTATGCGTTATAATCAGGGCCGGTCCTGGGCTGAGGCATTTGAGGCCTCAGCCTCAGGCCCAAAACCCTTAGGGGGCCCAATTTTGCTTCAATTTTTTTTTTTTTTTTTTTTTAAATAGTTAGCCAAAACCCCTTGGGGGGCCAATTTTTCTTTTAATTTTTTTTTTTTTTTTTTTTTTGGGGGATAGTTTTGGATTTTGGATGTTATTTTAATTTTGTATTGTTTTCGTAAACTTGTAATGCTCAAATTTTTGCGTACATAATTGAAAATATTATTAGATTTTTACGTAAATTTTTAAGTTGATTTCGTCCGGAGGCTCAATTTACGGACCTCGCCTCGGGCCTCCATTATCACAGGACCGGCCCTGGTTATAATGCTACATAAATTGCATGTGGAGATCTGTTTCGACAGTAATATGAATACAAACAAATAATTTTAATAATAATAAATAAAAAACAAAAAGAAGAAATCAAAAGAAAAAGAAAAAGAAAAAATAAAAATAAAAATGCATGGAATCACTCTTGAATTGCACGAGAATTTCGTGTTGATTATTCTTTTAGATAAAGTCCGTCACAATAAGCCCTGGCCGCTGATTGTTTCTTTGTCTTTTCCTTATTTTTTTATTTAATTTTCTTTTACTTATTTTTGTTTTGATCTTAAATAAGAATATAGTCATCCTTCCAACAAAAATCTTAACTTTTATTTAAGATTTAAGCCCCGTTTGGGAGTGATTGTTTACCCCGAAAAATTAATTTTTTGACTGTTATTTCACAATTTCAGCGGTAATTTTTTATTTTTTTTCTTTTATAGGTGGCCTCCACTTTTCTCCCATATATCAAAAAATCAATTCTCAAAATCACTACCGAACAGGCCCTTAGACGGTTTTCATATTCTAGTACTACTTGTGCAAAAACAATAAAAAGTTGAGGATCACATTGTCCTAATTTAGAAATTACAGACCAACTTGCTACATCATTGAGTAGTTTGGGATCTCCGCTTCAAATTTTCCATCAAGTAGATCCAATTGTTAGGCCAGCCCAGTACAGTAAGTTCTGAATAAACTCCGCCCAACATTCCACAGATAGTCCAAAAGAGAGCCCATAGCGCCTCTTCAACGGAGATAATTCGTACTCGATCCCATTTCCCTTCTATAAGCAGAAAAATCAAAATATTATCTTCAATTGTAATCTTGAATCTAATCAAATCAGGCTGCAATTAGAGCTATCAAATCCTACATCTCAGGTAAATATTTGCCTTGAAAGGTTTCGTTTTTGGTAAATGTTATGAATTTGATCTGATTTTCCGTTCTTCTATAGTGATCTCTGCTTATTACTTTATAAATCTTGAATTTTATTCAGTCACGTTGAACCTCTTATTTTTAATATATGGAATGGGTGTTTGATAAATCAAATACGCGAGTAACGAAATTGTCGCATAGCTTGTTTGGATCAGCGTGGAAGGAGAAAATAATTTAAAGTTTTGCAGATTTTATTGTTACCAGTGTTTATGAAGTATGTAAGTTATGATTGGATATTAGTATTTTTCTAATTGGAATAGAAGAAATCCACTTTAAGCAATGATGACAGGATCTATAAGTGGTGCAATATATTATATGAAGTGTAAAAGCGAGTTCTTGATTATAGGATGCTTAGAAATCAGCTTTTGAATTATTTACCTTTTATTCTTTGTTTTTTCCCCCTATTTTTCGTCTATTTTAATTTATTAGGAGTGAAATATAATTCTGAGAGCATTTTTGTTTTAATTTGTTTTATTTTAGGCTGGTCAGATCGCCAGCATTTGTTGGCCAATTGATCCATGTTTGAACTGAAATGAAATGAATATATTGGAAATGACAGGCTAGAAGCACATACGTTGCAGCAGAAGAAGACATATTTTATCTTTTTGGCTAGGTTCCCTTGTGCGTTCCAAGTTTAGTTAATGGCTACCTTAGGGTTGATTTTTGAAAATTCAGTGAAAGTTGCATTGGATTGGTTAAAATTTGCTCTTGATGCCTCATCTGTACGAGCTGTTGTCTTTGGAGTTCCCATTGGAGGTATACTGAAAATCACAGATATTTTATTTTTCTCATTTCAATATGTTTTGAAATAACGTAACTATTTCCTCACTGTTCTTTAGGCCATCTATTTATGGAGGGTCTGCTTTTAGTGGTAATTCTTTTCCTGTTATCTCAGAAAAGTTACCGGCCACCCAAAAGACCATTGACAGAGAAGGTTTGTTTTATTCATATGGAGTATAAGTTCTCTGGTCTACCATGTTTCTGTGGCTTCCATACCTAGTCCCATAAATGCTCAGCTTGATTTAACTTATTTGGAGATAGGATGTGTGCACAAGTTGGTTTGCCTTTTTTCCATTTTCTCCCGATTTTATCAGCCATCTTTTATTTAGTTGCAAAATGACTGAAAACACTAATGGATTTGCTGATAAATTATGGGTTTGGGCAAAGATTTGTAACCCTAAACAGATGATCTTAAAATTTGGAGTGATATTATCATCGTCAACATCACGTTCATTGCCACTACCATTTTTAAATAACAGTGATTTAAAACAACTGTTGCTAATTTTTTGTCATTATTGCTATGACGCTGAATGTGACAGCAGTAAAGGTGGGGGTTCAAGGGTGCAGTGTTACTTTCTAGGGCCTAAACATGTGTTGAACATGTCCATAAAGAGACATTCTTGGGCTTATGCATAGAAGAACCTTCCTTTCTAAGTTTAAGAACTGATGCAGACTTTGGATATGCAAACAAATACACTGAGTACGATTTTAGCCATTTAGAACACTTTAGGTTTAGCAATTAAAAAATATAGTTTTGAAAACAAAAAGGAACAGTGTTACAAGTTTGGTGTTTATTGCAAGGATACGGTGTTTAAATAAGTTGTTTGTGAGTCAGTTCTACTGTATTTGTTGTTACCGACCTACCTCCTTAATTTCTGATGAACAACTTTACCACGTCGTTATGATCGAAAGAAATGATGTTACAAGTTTGTTGTTAAGTTAGATGATATCATATTTGTTTCCCATTAATATAAGAATGAGAATGAAAAATATAGTCGTTACGAGCCCCACACAAGAGATAGAAATTCAAATATGATGGTTTGATGTGATGAATAA